AGGCAAATGGGACTAGTTCAGTTTTGGATACCTGGACGGCAAGACGAATTGGGCCAAATAGTGTGTGGTGTATCTTTGAAATAGCAACAACACACTGCAGCAACATGGAACGACGCCAAGAGAAGGAGGAATACCTCTTCCAAGTGTTCAAGGATAATGGATATCCAAAGAACTGGGTCAGGAGATGCCTACAGGAACAGCATCAGAAAGATTCTACACGCCCCGACACACTCATCACACTACCCTACACATCAGGAACACATCAGAACTCACCACAAGACTTCTACGACTGCTGGGCATTAGAATGGCACACAAGCCCACATCAACCCTACGACAAGTGCTCACCCGAACTAAAGACCCACTCCCCGCCATGGACAGGACCAATGTCATCTACAAGATCCCCTGCAGAGACTGCGAGAAACACTATATCGGACAAACAGGAAGGAAACTAACAACAAGAGTACATGAACACCAGCTGGCGACAAAAAGACACGACCAATATTCACTCATCTCAATCCATATGGACAAGGAGAACCACGACTTTGACTGGGACAACACCAAGATCCTGGGACAGGCTAGGCAGAGACAAGCACGAGAATTCCTGGAAGCATGGCACTCCACAAAGCATGCTATTAACAAGCACATTGAACTCGACCCCATATACATTCCACCACGGAGGAAACCCGGAAGTGAGGCAATCCATCGCAATGGACCCCAGAGTTTAAAAACCAGGTGGGAAAACACACCGACACTTCATCAGAGGATGTTACTAAGCACGGTAACGAAACGTCTGCGGAACAACAAACCAGCTCGGCGAGCCAACCAACCTTAACACCCACAACCCGAGCTACAGACCTACTCCAAAACCTTAGAGACTTCTCTGAACTGCTTCAAACACATTTACAACCTTCCTTAAATAAAATACCGCTTCACAACATCATGGAGAACAGAAGCACAACTTCCTTACTTTTGTATTCAATTCTTCTCACAATAAATGATAACATTCTATTAGCTTTACTAATAACTTGCATTAATTTCATATTTACCTGCATTGTACTCCATTTGCCAGATCTTTGCCCACTCACTTAATCCATCTATACTGCTTTGTAGCTTCCTTTGCAGCCTGCACAACTTCATTTCCTATCTATGCGTCATCAACAAATTTAACAACCATACTCTTGGTCCCTTCACCCAAATCACTTCATATATATTTTCAGAAGTTGGGGTCCCAGCACTGATCCCTGTGGCACACCACTCACTACATCTTGCAAACTAGAAAACCTATCCATTTATGCCTATTCTGTTTCCTATAACCGTATCAATTTTTTATTCATGTTAACATATAACCCACATAACATGATCCTTTTATTTTCTGCCGTAACCTTTAGTGTAGCAACTTCTCAAATGCCTTCTATCCACAGAATGTTATGTCTTTAAAAAAAAACTCCAATAAATTAGTTAAGTATGATTTCTCTTTCACTAAAACGTGTTGACTCTAACTTACTACCTTGAAATGTCCTAAGTATCTTCAAAATAGTTTCTAACATCTTCCCCATTACAGATATTAAGCTAACAGGCCTGCAGTTTCCTGTTTAATGTCTCCCTTTTTAAATACAGGATTTATGTTTGCTTTTTTTCCAATCTGATGGAAACTTCCTCAAATCTAGGTAATTTTGGAAAATTAAAACCAATGCATCAACTATCTCATTAGACAGTTCTTTTAAGAACAGGCCAGCAGAATCTAAGTTTGAAATCTGGTCTCTCCATGGTGTATGTCCCCACCCATAAAATACTTAAGGCTTTGCCTACATCAACCAGAAGCTGTTGTATTCCCAACTTAAGTACTGATGGTATCATGTCACTTTAGCCTTATTAACAAATCCTTCAGTTGTCAAATAATTTTTTTTTTGTGTCTACCAATACCATGGCTAAAATACAGGACAAAATTAAACATAAGAACACAAACTATGTGTTTCCCTTCAATCAAATATTCCAGATTATAAATCTCAATTGGAGACTAATAAAATACTGCAGACACTGAAAAACTGAAATAAAAAGACACTGAAATAGCACAGGATGATCCTTTGAATGAGAAGGCTGATAGAGTGGATAGGGGAAGAAGGGGGAACTGTACTGCAGTTCATAGAGAAAGGAGAAAGAATAAAAGACAGCTGAAAATCCTGTCAACCACAACAGTACAGGAGCCAGATTTCAATTGTTCTATAGCTCTTCCGTTACCTTCTACATAATGCCACCATCTGACACATCGTCTCTCCTCCGTCAACATTCAGAAGGAGCGGTCCCTTCAGTGCCGTTATGGTCTATATCAATCACCCCAAACAACTCATCTCCTCCCATAGCACTCATAACAACCCTTAATCCCCTTTCTCCACAGCATCCTAGGCTCCAAACACTCCTTCCATATGAAGCAATGACTTATGTGTACTTCTAATTTAGTATACTATGTTTGTTGCTCATAATTTTGTCTCCTCTAAATTGGAGAAACTGAATACAAATTGGGCAACTACTTTATGGAACACTACCATTCAGCACGCAAGCATAAGCCCAAAAGTTCAGCTGCTGGCCATCTTAATTCATCACCTTGCTCTCTCATGTACATTTCTGTCCTCAGCCTATTACAATGTTCGAGTGAAGTTTATGGCAAGCTCGTTTTACAGTTAGCACTTTACAGCCTTCTGAACTCAACACTCAGTTTAACAATTTCAGATCATGAACTTTGTCCCCCATTTTGATTCCATTTTTTGCCATCTGCTGGCTTGAATCTGTTTAATTCCTGTATTTGCTTTCAGAAAGAACTGCTAATCATTTTGAATCACTCTGAACAAATGCTTTTGCCTCTTAACCGCAACCATTAACACTTCCTAAGCCTTATGATCCATGATATCATCATAGGGTCATAGGATCCCTACAGTGTGGAAACAGGCCCTTCAGCCCAACCAGTCCACATCGACCCTCGCAGCATCCCACCCAGACCCATCCTCCTATAGCCCACCCAAGCTACACATCCCTGAACACTACGGGCAATTTAGCATGGCCAATCCACCTAGCCTGCACATCTTTGACTGGGAGGAAACTGGAGCACCCGGAGGAAACCCACGCAGACGCGGGAAGAATGTGCAAACTCCACACAGACAATCGCCCAAGGGTGGAATTGAACCTGGGTCCCTGCCGCTGTGAGGCAGCAGTGCTAACCACTGAGCCATCTTTGTCATTTAATCGTTTCTGCCCTCTAGTTTATCCCAGAGTTCCTTTTATTATTCCCCTACTTTTGATGGCACAAAACTCATCACATTTCTACCCTCTTTCAGTTCTGATGAAATCATATTCAACATGAAACATTAACTTTTTCTTTCTAAATAGGTGTTTCCTGACCTGCTGAGTATTTACAGCAATTTCTATTTCTATCTTGTTCAAGGTTTCAGTGAAATCCAGTGGAAACCATAATTCATTGGGGCATCATAAACAGAATATTACAAAATATAGGAAAAAACAAAAATGGTAATCAAAAGTTGTGCCATATTTGAGTTGAAATGTACAAAATATGAATCGATTCATGTGAACTTATTTTTCTTGTGCTTGGAGTCATTTTTACTGTTAACCATACTTCACATATTCGAGGTATCTGCAAATGACGATAACGTGTGCCTGTAATTCCGGATTTGACAAATATCAGTTTTGAACCTGATGCTAATCATCTCAACCATCCACTTTACTGCCAATGTTTATTAAAGAATTTCTCAAGTAGAGATCAAGGTAATTATTATAGTTCAAAAATGTATCTTACACAACAGTAAGTGGTACTGCTACCAAGAGTTACCTTCCAGCCAACTAAAAATGCCTCACTTGTGTAGAAGAAAATAAAGTATTGTAGCATCATTGCCCCATCTACTGGTAAGTGCAGGCTAACACTGAATGTGCATATATTTGAGAAAGTAAAGGCCCAGATTTTGATGCAGCCAGGAAAATCCAGTTAGTTAGGCCTGTTTGTGTGAATAAAATTTTTAAAAACTTATAAATGCAAATTATTCATCAAGGTCAACAGGGCATATGGGACTGTGGTGACCTATGGAACGGTTATTTTAAAAACGGTTAAAAGATTAAAAATCTACAAGGGATATAAATAAACATTAGTGTATTTAATGTCAAAATCAGGTACAGAAAGAGAGAAAAAGAAAGTCTGGATCAAGAGAAAGATAAAAGGAACAGAGAGGAAAAGTAACGTCAACGACCTTGGAAATTTAAATCTGTTTCTCTCTATCTGATGCTGCCATACTCACAAGTGCACAGTTTCTGATGAAGAGCAAGCAACTGTCAGGCACTAATAGCTATATGATTGTTAAAATGATACACTATTAGTTGCTAGACACCTTTTTAATTATTTTTAATCAATCTGTTTGAACATGTTATGTCACGCTTATCTGGTAGATGGGTCTTGGACCCAGAATGTCCGGGCCAGAGGTTGGGCAACTATCTCTGCACCCAAACCTTTTTATAAGTTTGATGGGCAACTCGTCTACAAATGTTCAGTCTCATGAAAATCAGCGGGATGTTAAGGGCAAGATCTTGTTTCTATTAAGCTAATGACAGTAACACAGAGTGGTCAGTAACTTGTAGTCATTCTCGAAGGGGTGTCAGTTAACTCATTTGGCTGGATGGCTGGCTTGCAATGCACTGTGGTTAACCGTGGGTTCAATTCTTGCTTTGACTGAGGTTACCACGAAGATCTCACCTTCTCAACCTCACCCCTCGCCTGCGTGCATTAAACTACTATCAATCTTTTCTCTCTAACGAGAGAGCAGCCCAAAGTGACTTTATTTTTATTCTCAATTCATGTGTTTTCATTTTCTGTTAGAAGTTACTGTCCAATAATAACAGCATGGTATATTCTAAAACTGAATTGTTATATTTCGCAAAAGCTGAGTCACAGCTTATCATTTCAGGGAACACTTTGCACTTAGTTGGAACAGTTATTTGCTTACCAGAACATCATGAACCAAAGCTTGATATGTCCACGTATGATGTAATGGAGTTGCCAAATCTATATTTCTGTCTACAAGTATCAATAACGGTCTTTGGAAACTGCCAAAAAAAAAAGACTCATGAATATAAAAGTGTGAAGCATGCAGATAATATTTAGATATCCTGGACTAAAATAAAATGCTATTCACTCACCAACATGCTTGAACAAAATGTTCACAGCATGTCATTGCATTTCTTTGGGAAACAACAGTTATTCTACAATGCTTTTCCAAAAATAAACTTAAATTATAAGGGTTTAAAGTTAAGATCACATATCACAAAAATTTAATGAACTTTTCTGCAAACATAGCATTAGTTCTTTCATTTATACAGGTAGAATCATTATTCACATTGTTGAATCGCTCACCATTGTAACTGTCAAAATAAAAACAGATTAGTTGTCTGAAGAACCAGCTGACAAACTTTACAACATTGAGTTAAAGTTCACAAAATAGACTTAGCTAGAATCTCACAAGGATTTGCTGGTTAATGAACCACGGAATTTTTGTTGTTCTTCATTTCAACAATTTTCAGCATTTTCAGTCTTATTTATACTAACTTTTAAAAACAGCAGTTATATTTATTGAATGAGTCCTGCAACTTAATGGCGAGGGCAAGAGGAATATGCTTGCTCCTCTTGGCTAACCAGAAGTGCTAGAATAGCCACTTACGCTGAAGAACAGCTGCTCCAATTTCCACTTCACTACGGAGTCTCCTAACACGGAAACCAGAGTAGCAGCATTTAAGTTCAAATTGGGCACTTAATCAGTATGATTATAAATATCCAGTCTCTCAACTAGAGCACTCAGCAGGTCGAGCAGCGTGTTTGGAAAGAAAGGAGAGCTAATGTTTTGGGTCCATTTTTCTCTTCACAGGTGCTTCCAGATCTGCTGGGGAGTTTCTCCAGTAATTTCTATTTTTGTTTTAGTATGCAGATGTAAGTTAGCTTTTCATATGACTTATACACAAAGACTAAACGAATCATACAAGTAAGCCCTTCACTAAAACATTTGAAAAAAGGCCTTCCAGTTTGCATTAGAATCCAAATAACTAGCAGAAATTACAACAGAACTATTCCATTTGTTCCAACTCTTGTAAAAGACTTTTACCCTAATCAGTGATACACCTAGACATACAAGTTGTTGTACAGAAAGTAAACCTATGACTGTATGTAGCTTGCTTAAATTTTGATGAACTGTAAAGAAGCATTTTCTTAGAGCCAAGATTGATTTCTGAACATAGATTACAGTATTGTACCTGAATTGTCCTCCACCAAGGCCATCTCCCGTGAAGAGACTGTTTCTGGCATCTCGCAGGTTTTCTCGTAGCTTCTTGTCCAATTTCTAAAACAAAATAAATTGCTGTTACTTTCAAATGTAAAAAAATGTCTGTAAATATATAACAGAAAGTAAGGAAATCATTATAAAAATATTAGACCAAATATGAAATCTCCCACATACAGCAGTGACTCAGAGTGTTGCATAAGGAAATAAAGACAGAAACTTCAAATTATATACTGGATTGTGTGAAGTATATAGAAATGATGAAGTCTGAGGAGCCGTGGATATTGGGCTTGAGACTATCAATAAAACAGGAATGATGCTCTGGAACCATCAAACTCAGTGGCACACAGGTGAATGACTACACTTAAGATCAGTGATCAGGTGAATGATTGACTTCGGAAGTGGTCCAGTGAAGTCACTCTGTCGAATTCAGATGAAGACGGAGATGCAGCGGCAATTTCACTAGAATAATTGTGGCTTCACAGCAAAGTTTGAACCAGCAGTTTCAAAGTATTTATTGTAATAACTTACTATTTTACAATAGAGACTGATCATTTCAAAAGGTATTTTATTGTCTGTAAAGCACTTCAGATGTCCTGAAATCAGGACAGGCATAACATAAATGAAAGCCAGTCAGACTTGTATTAATATAGCACTTTTCTCAGTATGTAACTTTATGGCCAATAAACACTTTTCAGAGGTAAAGTCACTGTTGAATGTAGAAAAGTAAATATTTCTTTTCTTACCTTTTGTACTGATATGATTATCAAGGTTTGTTATTACTGAGAGGGTCAAACCAATGTTACAACAGGGACCTGAAGCAGGTGTGAAACCCTTTACTTGAATATGCAAAATGGCAACACCAGCTTCAGCAAAGGGGAAAGGACTCTTGTTTGCTCATATTTAACATGGTGAGTGGAACACTACTGGTCGAAAATATGTGCATTGTCGCTGTTCACAATTTTAAGGCCTTACCACAGAGTGTGGCGCTTGAGAATATGTGTATTTGGGATCACATTCACAACTGGGGAGTAACTTTAAAGACCTGATACACAAACATTTTCTGTACTTAAGAGCAGATGCTCTCCACTGTCCTGAGTTGTGTTCCGTCTTGTGTGCAAACTGACTTTCAAACAGACTCCAGAACGGAACCCAGTTGCAACCTGAGGGCTGCCTGTATTACCTAGTTCAAATTAACCCACAGTATGAAATTTAAAAAAAATAAATTTTTACAATGCTTTATTTCTTTAATTTTTAATGCATTCTTTTATGCGATGCGTATATTCCTGGCAAGGTCAGACTGCTAGACCACTTCAGAAGGTACGTAGAAGTCAACCCACATTGCTGAATTTTGGACTGAACCAGGTGTGGATGACAGGTTTCCTTCCCTAATGAGCATTAGTGAAACAGATGGATTTTTACAACAATCAATGGTAGTTCGATGGTCATCATTGCTGGAATTACCAATAGTAAAATTATCAACTGAATTTATATTTCACCAGCTGCTGTAGTGGGATTTGAACCAGTGTTCCCAGTACATTAGCCTGGGCCTCTGGATTACTAGTTCAGTTCACAAGATCATCACTACAAAGTGCTACAAATGAGGTGAATTATTTCAATACTGTTTACTCTTCAAAGCAAACTTAAGCTTTGACAGAAAAATCGTGTCAGCTTTAATCAAATGATGTATTCCTGAAATATGGAAGTCCAATACTCTGAAATATCCATCCTAAACACCTCTGCCTCTCAATCACTCTGCTCCTTCAAAAGTGGTCCTTAAAATTTACCTGTGACCAAACCTTTTAACTTTAACCAACATGTATTTCTGGGTGCCAGTGTCAACGTCTGTCTGATTCAATCTCATGCTGTGCTATTGGACATTTTACTACATTAAAGCTGCTAGGTAAATACAAGTTATTGTTGTTACTGAAAATCTGTCTAGCATGCTTGCTTTCAAAACAAACTGAATTCGTGATCAGAGGCAACTCCAAATCAGTGCTTGTTAATGCAACATTCACAAAAGTGGGGCATTTTTCCCGAGAATTTGCATTTGTTAGGTTGAGAGTTTTTAGTGTTGTACTTAAAAATACATATACTTTGACATCATCTTTGGATACTCCCAGAACACAAAACAAATTACTTTTTCTTGACTATCCGTTATAGGAAGTGCAATATCTACACGAGCTGGCAAATGACACCTCAGATTATTAGCTGTAACACTCTCAAACCCTTGAGACCACAGGTGAGATTACTAACAACTGAAACAAGGAAATACTAAATGATTTGCTTTATGGACCATTTAGAAACAAAATTTTCTAACACCAGATAATGTAAATTTTGAATGTCAGATAGCTATATGTATATATACATGCAAGCCTTTATATGGCTCATTATGTATAGCTTTTAAAAAGAACTATGAATTTTCTAAAACAAAGATAAAGATTGCTGGAAAAGCTCAGCAGGTCTGGCAGCATCTGTGAAGAGAAATCAGAGTTAACGTTTTAGGTCCAGAGACGCTTCCTCGGATCTTTGTTTCTCCAATGTAGAGGAGACCACATTGTGAGCAGCAAATGTGGCAGACTAGATCGTGTGAAGTGCAGGTGAAGTGCTGCTTCACCTGGAAAGTATGTTTGGTCCCATAGATACTGAGGAGGGAGGAGGTAAATGGGCAAGTGTTACACATTGGCGGTTGCAGGGGAAGGTGCCTTGGGGCGGTGCTCAGCAGGTCTGGCAGCATCTGTGAAGAGAAATCAGACTTAACATTTCAGATCCAGTGACCCTTCCTCAGAACTAGTGGTAGCTAGGAAAATGTTAGTTTATACGCAGAAGATAGGGTGGGGCTAAGGGGTAAGGAGTAAATGATAGGTGGGGATAGAGCCCAAAGAGACAGAAGAACAGATAGACAAAGGAATTGATAACGATCTGGCTGGGAGGGTGCATAGCTGTTAATGGGAACTGTTAGTGACTAATAATAGGTAGTGTGTAATGGCAGGCTATGTGATAACAAGGCGGTGTGTGGGATTGGGGGCTATGACATGGAAGAGTTCAGGCCCTAAAATTATTGAACTCGATATTGAGTCAGGGTCCCCAAACGGAAAATGAGATGCTGTTCTTCCAGCTTGTGTTAAGCTTCACTGAAACACTGCAGCAAGCCTGAGACAGAGATGTTGGCCAGAGAACAGGGTGATGTGTTAAAGTGGCAGACAAGTGGAAGCTCAGGGCCTTTTGTGCGTGCAAAACATAGATGTTCCGTGAAGGGGTCACCCAGTCTATGCTTTGTTTCTCCAACGTACAGGAGACCACAATGTGAGCAGCGAATGCAGTAGACTAGATTGTGTGAAGTGAAGGTAAAGTACCGCTTCACCTGGAAGGTATATTTGGGCCCTTGGATATTCGGGAGGGAGGAGGTAAACGGGCAGGTGTTACCTCTTTGTCAGTTGCAGGGGAAGGTGCCGTGGGGCAGTATACTGGATTGAAGGAAGAGTGGACCAGGGTGTCCCGGAGGGAACTGTCCCTGCAGAAGGCGGATAAGGGAGAGCAGGGAATATACGTCTGGTGGTGACACCTTCTGAAGGTGGTGGAAATGGCATCTGATGATTTTCTGGATGTGGATGCTAGGTAAGGACAATGGAAATCCTATCACTGTTGTAGAAGGCCCCATCATGCCTGTCACCTCATGGGGTACGTGGAACATTCCTTGTTTCAATCCTATTCCAGCCTCCACCCACAAGTCTTTCTCCAATATATCAATGACATCATCGGTGCTTTTTCCCTCTCTCATCTGGAATTGGAAAAGTTCATCGATTTCGCTTCCAATTTCAACCCTAACTTTACTTTCACCTGGTCTATCTCTAACTCCTCCCTTCTCTTCCTCAACATCTGTTTCCATTTCTGGGGATAGACTGGCCACTAATATCCACTACAAACCCAATGACCCCCACAGCTACCTGGACTATGCATCCTCGCACCCTGCTTCCTGTAAAGGCTCTATCCCATTCTCCCAATTTCTCTGTCTCTGTCACATATGTTCCAAGAGGCCAACTTTGAGAAGGGAGGCTCCGAAATGTCCACCTTCTTCCTCAAGCAAGGATTTCCCAGCACCACTGTTGACAGGGCCCTTAACCGGGTCCAACCCATCTCCCACACGTTCACCCTCACCGCCTCTTTACCCTCCCACAACAGCGATAGGGTTCCCCTTGTCTTTACCTACCATCCACCAGCATTCACATCCAGAAGATCATTAGCCGCTATTTCCACCACTTCTAGCGAGATGCCCACTACCAGACATATATTCTGCTCTTGTTCTTTGTCTGCCTTTCGCAGGGACCATTGCCTCCAGGACACTCTAGTCCACTCTTCCTTCAATCCAGGACACCTCCCACAGCTCCACGGCATCTTCCCCTGCGACCGCCAAAGGTGTAACATCTGCCCATTTACCTCCTCCCTCGCCAATATCCAAGGGCCCAAACATACCTTCCAAGTGAAGTAGCACCTTACCTGCACTTCACACAATCTAGTCTACTGCATTCGCTGCTCACAATGTGGTGTCCTCTACATTGGAGAAATAAAGTGTAGACTAGGTGACCACTTCATGGAACATCTACATTCTGCTCGTAAAAAAGACCCTGAGCTTCCACTTGCCTGCCACTTTAACACACCACCTTGTTACCTGGCCAACATCACCGTCTCAGGCTTGCTGCAGTGTTTCAGCGAAGCTCAGCGCAAGCTAGAGGAGCAACACCTCATTTTCTGCTTGGGGACCCTGCAGCACTCTGGACTCAATATCGAGTTCAATAATTTAAGGGCCTGAACTCTCCCGTGTCATAGCCCCCAACCCTACACACCATTCCTTGTTATCATACGGTTTGCCATTATATATTACACATTGTTAGCCACTAACAGTTCCCATTAACAGCTATTCATCATCCCAACCAGATCCTTATCCACTCCTTTGTCTGTCTAATTCTTCTTCTCTCTCTTTAAGCTCTATCCCCACCTATCAGTTACTCCTTACCGCCTTCTCCCACCCTTTCTTTTGCATATAAACCGACATTTTCCTAACTAACATCAGTTCTGAGGAAGGGTCACTGGACCTGAAATGTTAACTCTGATTTCTCTTCACAGATCTGCCAGACCTGCTGAGCTTTTCCAACAATCTATATTTTCGTTTCTGATTTACAGCATCCACAGTTCTTTCGGTTTTCATCATAAATTTTCTAACATGTATTTGAAGGAAATTAAAACACATTTCCTACCACTGCTACCATGTCAGCTGCATTTCCACGAGGACATCGTATAATTGGAACAGCACCTGTAAAAGGAAGAAAATATGTCTACAAGATTTAAATGTTGCAAATTGATTTACATTGGAACAAGAGGTTGACATTTCTTCTAGTTATTTCTCTGCCTGTGCCTCACATACTTCTTACTCTGTACAGGATAACAGAAGTACAATCCAGCAATTTTGTCTGGCGAACAGCTTATATCTGCTTGACTCTCCCTATAGTACAATCCATGAGATGTGAACCTCAATGAATGGGAATGGCACAGGTGCAATCAGACACCACATTCAATTACTGCATGAATGCTGAAGTTATAACTGGGCAATCCAAATTAGTCTCATTGTTTCTTTATTGTAGCATTTACTTCATTTTGTAAAAACTTGGTACAATCTTTAACCTCAACTAACCTGATGAAAGATTTACTGCTCTTTCAGCTTTCAAATACTAGATTCCTGCATATAATGTCCCAATTATAACAGAATTATTGGTAGGATTCTTACTTTCTTCTAAAGCATGCATTTTCTTTACACTACTTAACGTGTTATTCGAATTTAAAGGAGTTCACAGTGACATAAGCAGGAATTTACTGCACCATACGTACCCATTGTAACAAAGAAGCAGAAGAGGCTATCCACCAGGGTGTCCATAATGTTTTCCATTTCATTATCAGTGATATCAGGTCTATTGATTGCTGAAAACAGATGTGCAATTAAAACAAGTCATTTTTCTTAAAAAGTCGAAGCATGTGCAAATAAAGGGAGTGAGACGATGGGGCTGGGGAAGAATAAAGATGGAATCAGGTTACAGCCTGTGATGATAGATAGCAAGCAAAATAAGGAAGTCTCAAATTAGTTGTCGAGGCTAAAGGGAGGAGAGAACTGAGAAAAATCGCTATCACTATAGAAAAAAAAGACTAGGAAAACTAAAGGGAATGGAGGTTGACAGGTTGCGTGGATTCGGTGGCCTGCAACTTAGGGTCTTAAAAGAAACTGCAGCAGGAAAGGAGATGCATTGGCTATAATCTTACAACATGCACTACATTCTGGAAAGCTCCCAGTAAATCAGAAAACCACAATTGCAGCACCTCAATTCAAGACTTATTTTCTTCTTGTCAAAGGTGCTGTTCCAATTATGTGATGTCAGCTGCATTTGCGTAAGGACATGATATACAGAATACAGGAAATAATAGCTTACATCTGTCATTGGGAAAATGCTAGAATCCGCTGTAATGAAGTAGCTGCAGGATATTTAGAAAATCAAAATATAACCAGGTAGTCAGCTTGGTTTTATGCAATGAAAACTATGCTTGTAGAGTTCTTTAAGGATATAACAAGCAGAGTGGATAAAGGGAAACCAGCAGATATAGTACATTTGGATTTCCAAAAGGTGTTTCAATCATTACCACAAAAAAGGTTACTACTCAAGATAAGAGGTTATGGTGTTTAGACATAATAGATTCAAGCAAGGACAGAAGCTTGACTAATTAAGAAGAAACAGAAAATCTGAATAAATTAATCTTCTCTGGTTGGCAAACTGTAGTAAAGTGCCTCAGGGATCAGCATCAGGGCCTCAACTATTTGTAATCACTATTAATCACTTAGATAGAGGGATCTAGTGTATTGTAGCCAAATCTGTTCATAAAATAAATGTAGGTTGGAAAGCAAGTTGCGAACATGATACACAGAACTTTCAAAGGGATATGGGTAAATTAAGCAAGTGGGCGAGAATTTGGGTTATGGTGTATAATGTGAAAAAGTAAATATTGAATTACATTAATATATAATGAAGGTGCCTACTTTCAAGGAAGAATAGAAAAGTGAAGCATTATTTAAATGGAGATTGTGCTAGCATTCTGTAGTCTGAGAGACGTGGATGCCCTTGTACAAAAGGTCTGCATGCAGTTATTGCAGGTAATTAAGAGTACAAATAGAATGTTGGTCTTTGTTTCGAGGTGGGGGGTGGGAAGACCGTACCTAGCCTGTTAGGTGCTCGGCTGTGCGCTCCGTTGTTCCACACATGGCAATCAGCATCAGCACGTCGATCGTGCCACTGATTTCTAGTTTCGGAAGTTTCTGTTGCACATGTGCCTTGCAGGTTCATACAGCTGGTAAGTGGAGGGAATGCTGGTGCTTGGCACTGTTCTGGTCTCCTTTTGCAAGCAAGGATAAACTTACATTGGAAGCAGTTCAGAGAAGATCCATTAGGCGGATTCCTGATATGAAAGGGTTGTCTTATGAGGAAAGGTTGAACCTATACTCATCAGAATTTGGAAGAATGAGAGGTGACCTTATTGAAACATGGAAGATTCTAAGGAGGGTTAACAGGGCAGAGGTGCAAGGACATTTCCTCTCAGGGAATGTAGGACTAGGAGGCACGGTTTTTCAGTAAGGGGTGTTCTGTTTCAGAGAGAGAAGAGGAATTTCTTCTCTTGGAGGGTTGTTAATCCTTGGAATCCTCTTTCCCAGACAATAGGGCAGGCTGGATTCCTAACTACAATGAAGGCTGAATGCCTGAAATGTGTTATGGTACTAATGTCATATCACATTTCATACAGTAAAGATCCACTACAACTATACCTAAAGGTAACCTTGTATGAAAACATTAACACTTTCACTAGGTATGTTTATCTTGACTGCCCAACATTAGAATTTTTTCAATGCAGTTTGGACTGGAATGTTTAGACAATTTGTTGTGAACAAACATAATTTGCAATCTTAAAAGCAAAAATATATGTCATGTTTTGCAGTAGTTCATTTATTTGGCTTCCCAGTGGCATGCCTTACAATGGCTGCGATTTCAAAGACAGATACATTTTTAAAGGTGCTGACGACTTTAGTGTGTGACTGGCTCCCCTGTGGGCAAGTCCAAATCTTGATTAATCCACACACAACTGAAGGAAATGCACTATTCTTCTACAATCACATCTTAGTCCAGGAATAATTTATAAACACTGTGCATTTGTCATTTTGAGCTTGTATCAAAAACTGACCAGAACCCAGATGAACCATTTTCATGCACATAACAATTATAGAACTGAGCAAGAGTGTAGAGCCGTTACCATGATATGAAATAAGTTCCTTGTTCTGGTTGCACAACACAAACATGTCATCCTCCAAAGTGATAAAGTTTAGATATTGATCAAATACCTGTAAAAATAAACAGGACAAAATTGGAAGCCATGTGAAAATATTGTTCCAAAGCTGCACATTGTTATTTAAATACTAAATTTGTTAATGATTGACTGACATAGATCAATCACCATGTTTAATCAAACTTTAGGTTGCTACTTTCATTTCCAATATGAATGTGTTAGTCACATATAGCAATTAATTCACATCTTGGGTTTTGTTTTCAAACTGCTTTTCAGTTGTAAAGCAAAATTGCATTTCCGGTGTAAAATAGCAAGTTATGAAACTGCATATCTGCACCTTTAAATATCATACAACATGAGACAATGACAATGTCTTACATTCATGCAAGATAAATTAAGAAAGGCATATGATTTTAAAAATTATCACAGTAATATATTTTTTATTATGAAGCTATCACTTTTAATTCATTTATATTTTTTCTTGAAAATGTTTGAGCACTCAAGTGTAAATGTTCTTAACATAACCACGTTATAGAATCCTAATTAACCTTATGATGATTTTCAACTCCAAAGAAACACAATACAATACTATCCATTTGTTAGGCCACTTTGCCAAGTTAACATCCAATTCAGTTAGAACATATAGTTGATACAAAATACATTATAAACAGTTGTGATGTGCCTTACTCCACAACAGTAACTATATTTCATTTCTAGATTTATTATTTGTTGATTGTCATCCCCATGTAAATTATATCCTACTGGGTTTTATTGGTGGAATGCTGTTCAGTCTTGCTTCCCTAAGGTGCAAGACCAAGCTGCACCAAGTCTTCATCCAAGAGTTGCTCGACACTGATGATGTCGCACTAACATTCCCTATTGACGAGCACTGAAGAAGCACGGTGGCTCAGTGGTTAGCACTGCTGCCTTACAGCACCAGGGATCCAGGTTTAATTCCAGCCTTGGGTAACTGTCTTTGTGGAGTTTACATGTTCTCCGTACCTGTGTGGGTTTTCGTTGGATGTTCCAGTTTCCTTCCACAGTCCAAAGATGTGCAGGTTAAGTGGCTTGGCCATACTAAATTGCCCCGTATTGTTCAGGGATATGTAGGTTAACTATGATAAACGTGGCGTTACAGGGACAGGGTGCAAAGCTCTTCGGAGGGTCGGAGCAGACTTGATGGGCCGGATGGCCTCTATCTACACTCTAGTGATTCTATCAGGCAGCAAAAGGACAAATTCTCTCACATCTGCAGACCTGCAGGAAGACAAACATCACAGTCCAGGATGTTCCATTCTGCCATCCTTCAATACTGACAATATGACAATTGAGGTTGTCAATAGCTTCCCATATTGAGAATAGCAATCACCAGCACTTGATGCTGAAAACAACACATGCATCGTTAAAGCTGCAGCTGTTATCTCCAAGCTGAAGAAGAGCATCTGGAAAACAGCAGCATAACTAAGAAAATAAACAGCAAATGTGCCAAGCTTCCATGGTTAGACCACCTCCCCTCTGCAGTTACACAACCAGCACAAGATATGCCAGCAGAAGAAAATGTGGAAATTTCCACCTTTGATATCTCAGACATATTCTTGTTATTTTTTGGTAGGATAAGGTCACCAACTCAGAGTTCTGGACAGTGCTCTTTCCATGCTCATACACTCAGTACCAAATCAACAACAACAGCATTCATCAGAAGGCTGATAGTTTTGTACCAAAAGTCCTTCTGTATAGTGAATCAGCCATTAATGCCTCTTCTACGAGGACTCATGTAAATGAGATATGAAGATAGTTCAGATTGCATCGAATGATGATATTATTGCCATTACGGAGACATGGTTAAAGGAGGGACAGGACTGGCAGCTTAACATTCCAGGATATCGCTGTTTTAGACAAGACAGAAAAGGAAACAAAAGGGGTGGGGGAGTTGCACTGCTGGTTAAGGATCACATCAGAGGAGTCTTGCAGTGAGGCATTATGGGTGCAGCTCAGGAATAGGAAGGGTGAAATCACAATGCTGGGAGTTTTCCATAGACCTCCCAACAGCCCACGTGTGATACAGGAGCAGATGAGTATTCAGATATTAGAAAGGTGCGAAAAAAGCAGGGTAATTGTGGTGGGTGACTTCACCTTTCCTCTTATTGACTGGGATTCCCTCAGAGTCAGGGTCTTGGATGGAGAGCAATTTGTTAGATGTGTCCAAGAGGGCGTTTTGAGACAGTATGTTGACAATCCAGCCAGAGAGGAGGCCATACTAGACTTGGTATTAGGGAATAAGCCAGGGCAGGTGATCGATGTTTCACTAGGAGAGCATTTTGGGCTTAGTGACCATAACTCCATAAGATTTTGAGTAGTCATGGACAAGGACAAAAGTGGCCCTCGGGTGAGGGTGTTTAATTGGGCAAGGGCCAATTACATCCAAATTGAACAAGAACTGGGGAATGTGGATTAGGAGCAGTTATTTGAGGACAAACCTACATCTGGCATGTGGGAGGCATTTAAAGATCAGTTGATTAAAGTGCAGGACATGCACGTCCCTGCAAATCTGAAGCATAGGAATGGCAGGACCCGGAACCATGGACGACAAGGGAAATTGTAAACTGAGCCAAAAGTGAAAAGGAAGCACACGATAGGTCTAGGCAGCTACAAAATGACAAAGCCCTTGAGGAGTACACAGAAAGAAGGAAGGAACTTAAACGCAGAATTAGGAAGGCTAAAAGGGGCCGTGAAATGTCTTTAGCAAAAAGGGTCAAGGAGAATCCCAAGGCTTCTTATGCATATATTAGAAGAAAGAGGGTAGCAAGGAAAGAGTAGGCCCCCTCAAGGACAAAGGAGGGAAATTTTGCGTGAAACCATAGGAAGTGGGAGAAATCCTTAATAAGTACTTTGTATGAGTATTCACCGAGGAGAAGAACACAACTGATGTTGAGGCGAGGGATGAGTGTGTGAATACTCCAGAGAATGTCAATATGTTAAGGGAGGAAGTTTTGGGTATCCTAAATTGCATTAAGGTAGACAAGTCCCCAGGGCCAGATGGGATCTATCTCAGGTTTCTGCGAGCGGCAAGGGAAGAAATAGCTGCGGCATTGGCAGATATCTTCACATCCACCTTGACCACAGGCAAGGTTCCAGGGGACTGGAGATTAGCCAATGTTGTTCCCTTGTTTAAGAAAGGAAGCAGGGATAATCCATGAAATTATAGGCCATTGAGTCTGACATCTGTGGTGGGGAAGCTCTTGGGGAAGATGCTGAGGGACAGGATATATGCACATTTGGAAGAAATGGGCTAGTTAGCGACAGGCAGCATGGTTTTGTACAGGGGAGGTCATGTCTCACCAACCTGAATGAAGTTTTTGAAGAGGTAACAAAGATAATTGATGAGAGAAGAGCTGTGGATGTAGTTTATATGGACTTTAGTAAGGCATTTGATAAAGTACCACATGGCAGATTGGTGGGGTAACTAAAATCACATGGGATTCGGGTGGGCTGGTTAGATGGATACAAAACTGGCTTGGTTATAGAAGCCAGAGGGTAGCGGTGGAAGGGTGTTTTTCAGAATGGAGACGAGTAACTAGTAGTGTTCCACAGGGATCACTTGGGCACAGAAATGGCAGATGGAGTTTAATCCAAACAAATGCGAAGCGTTGCATTTTAGAGGACCAAATTTAGGTGTGAATTGTACTGTTAATGGCAGAACCCTTAGGAACATTAACATACAGATGGATCTGGGTGTGCAAGTCCACAGTTCCCTAAAAGTGGCAACACAGGTGGTCAAAATGATTAAGAAGGCATATGGCATGCTTGCCTTCAAAGGCCCGGGCATGGAGTACAACAGTAGGCAAAACACAGTGCAGCTATATAAAACCCTTGTTCGGCTGCATTTGGAGTATTGTGTGCAGTTTTGGTTGCCACATTACTAGAAGGACATGGAAGATTTGGAGAGAGTGCAGAGAAGGTTCACCAGGATGTTGCCCGGTCTTGAGGGCATTGCCCATGAGGAAAGGTTAAAAAAGACTAGGATTGTTTTCACTGGAAAGACAGCGGCTGAGAGGACCCTTGATAGAGGTCTACAAAATTATGAGAAGCATAGATGGGGTGGATATCAGAGGCTTTTTCCCAGGGTTGAAGTTTCAATTACAGGGGGGTACAGGTTCAAGGTGAGAGGGCAAAAGTTTAAGCAAGATGTGCTAGGAAAGCTTTTCACGCAATGAGTGGTAGGAACCAGGAATGACTGTCAGAGGAAGTGGCGGAAGCAGGCACGTTGGTGACATTTAAGAGGCAACTAGATGGTCACATGAATAGGGAGGGAATAGAGGGATATGGACTGAATAAGGGCAGAAGGTTTGTTATTTTATTTCAGTCAGGGCATGATGATCGGCACAGGCTTGAAGGGCCAAAGGCTGTTCCTGTGCCGTACTTCTCTTTTTATTGATATGGACAACTAGAAGACAGTCACTGATGGCTGTGATGTTTGCAGGCTGACTGATTATAAGGGCACTGCAAGAGCTGAGCAGAAACAAAAGGCTCAGCTGGTTAAGAAAAGGAGAAAAAGGCCAGTGAATTGTATATCTTCTTAGCCTATCTTTCAGCCAATGCAGCAGACTTTGCCACAGCAGAGTGGGCCTGCTGAGCCACTCCAAGGGATGCATAACATTGAGTTGACCATAAACAGCACTTACAACCATTAAGCCACAAGACAAAGGAGCAGAATTAGGCCATTTGGCCCATTGGGTCTGTTCTGCCATTCGATCATAGCTTAAATATTTCTCAACCCCATACTACTGCCTTCTCCCCGTAACCTCTGATCCCACTACCAATCAATAACCTATCTATCTCAGTCTTAAATACACTCAATGGCTTGGCCTCCATAGTCTTTTGTAGCAATTAGTTCCACAGATTAATAACCCTCTGGTTTAAGAAATTCTTCCTCATCTCAGTTCTAAAGCCTTCACTCTGAGGCTGTGCCTCAGATCCTAATCTCTCCTACCCTCCTACTATCCACGTCCACTCTACCTGCGCCTCTCAATATCCTGTACATTTCAATCAGATC